GTTCAATCGATTCTAGATTCAAAGTTATGAAATATTTGTTACTCAGGATGTTATTTATCAAAATGTGGCGACAGTGCTTAATGAAAGAAGAGCAGGGAATAATAATGTGGCCCTCCATTAAAATAGATTTAAAAAATAGGTTTTGTTTAAAAAACACAATGTTTTGTTACAAATTTATATATTTATTCAAAAACTCTGAAGACCGTATAATACCATCTCCTTCTCTATTAAGTCGCGCGTATAGAAAAACTTATGAAATTGCATACAGTTAATCAAAATTTAGTTAATAAAGTATACATGCAGTTATTATATTCTAACAGAGCGACGTTTTTATCATCGAGCGTGAACAAAAAGAAGAAAATAAACGGAATGTATTGTTCGAAGTAGACAAAATTTATATAACATTAAAATCTAAACCTATACGGAGAAAAAAGTTGGGTTGAATTTACTATACAGCGAACCAAACGCGTTTTAGCTGAAGAAAACAGAATTTCCGGTTCTTATGACTAAATTTTTTCGGTTATTATAACCAGAAATTCCGTTTCCTTCAACCTAAAACGCGTTTGATTCGTTCACAATCTGGTAAATTTAACCAAATTTTTTTTTTCACGCATCCCAATGAACACTAACAGTAACATAACATCAATGTTATAATTTCCTGCTCAACAATGTAACATAACACGCGCGTTACATTACATTTACGTTGTTGACTGGGAAATTATAACATTGATCTTACGTTACTGTTAGTTGGTGTTCACTGAGTGTATCTCAATTTTTTTTTTTTTTTTACAATCTTTATCTCTATCCTATTCTTCTATAATTCATATCCTATTTTAATATTTTCGATATCTATTTTATTTTCGAGGTCGCACCTCGACGGTCAGTTTTCCGCGCGCGCATCCAACGAGGAAGCGATCGACCGATCCTCGTGGGTACGTTTCTCCTCAAGATACTCACGCGATCTTGTAGCAAACGTTGCAGATCCATTCGACCTCCTCTTTGTCGCCGGTGTGACTCCTGATCTCGACGCGACACTGCCGGCATATCCGATGCCTGCAGCGCGTGCACACCGTGCCGACGTTGTAAAATCTACCGAATGGAGCGCCGCATCGCGCGCACTTGCGTCCTTGGTGCAATAGTTCGCCGGACGCCTTGAACAGGCCCCTTCTTCTCAGGTACTGTAGATCAGCCTTCAGCCTCCTGCAAACACAAAGCCGAACGCGAGTTAGTGGAGTGCCCCCTCGCAACTTCGAACTTCGCGAGCAAACGTCGAGATCATGACGGTTGAGACGAAAAGAGAATTCCGGTAAGTAAATAACTGTTGGCTTCAATAAATAATTATATGGAAAGAAATTAGTATCAATTCAAAACTTATATTCTCATATATAAGCAAGCATATATAATTTTATACGAAGGTAAAACTTTCTCTTATATATACAGAAAGAAATTCTATATAATTCTACTAGAAATATCATATTCTTGTTATTCGAGAATAATTTTTATGAATTGAGAAGAAACAATATTGGAGATAGAAAGAATGATATCTTCAAAGAGATAGAAAGAACGATATCTTCAAAGTGATACAGTTCTTAGTTTGAAGAAATCGTTCTTTCTGTATCTAATATGTTTTTCTCTTAATTCATGATTATTCTCGAATAGTACAAATATATTTAAGTAAGTTTTACCTTCATATAAGATTATATATTTTTGCTTATGTATGAAAATATGAGTCTTGAATCGATACTAATATTATTCTGAATATCTTCGATTAAATTCAAGGTAATAGGTAAATTTTAAAAAGAACATAAAATTATAAATTAGTGGTGCGTCTTCAATTTTGAAGAATTATACTAATGTCGCTTCATATTTGACCGCGGGAATTCGCTGTGCTAAACGTAAACTTGTCGTCCTTCCTATTCTCTTCTTACCGGGATTCGCTTCATACTCATTTGAATCGTTTGAATATTTCATCGCGGTCATCTTCGGCTGCCTGATCGTCCCGATACCAACTGTAATCCAGTTATCGATCACTTCCGAGTGAAGAACGGACTATTCGAACGTACCGTAACGTTGTCCGAGCGTTAACCGTTTCCCCGGGCGTGTCGGATTTTATGCGGCGAACGTGCGACACGCGATTTTATCGCCTAGACACGTAGTTATGCTCATATATATAATCATTGTTTGCTTCCAGTCGAGAGCACGGCTAATTAACGGCCGCTCGCGCCATTCGTCACACGTATACACACGTGCACACGCGTACGGCGAGCGCGATTATTCATCGAACGGTAGAAACGGACTAGTTTACGAGAGCCACGAGACCAAAGGTATATATCTCCGATCACCGGCTTCTATCCTCGTTCTCGTCTTCGTGGCGCGCGTTAATGCCCACGACTTACTCACGCAACTGACGCACGTGACGCGCCGTGTTCCTCTAGCCATGAACATAACCGTTTCATCACACTTCGGCGGCCGCAAAAATCGCGCGGCCAGATTTTCTTCCTCGTCGAGCGCGAACGAGCGCACGCTTAACCGCCGCATTAGCGAGCTTTTCTCGCTTCGCGTAAAGACGGTAGCGTTCTCCCTAATTAAAGACGAGCCTTACATGTTTACACGTTTGTTTTAAACGTTCCCTCTTTCCGACGCAAGACAGATATTTGACGGAAAAGAAGGAATCTTCCGTTTAATTTTCAAGCGGGGAATCAACCGATCTCCACCTTCAACTTTCCACGGGAATTCGTGCAACGAAGGAACTTTCGCTAATTGAAAATCCCGGAAGAGATGAGACGAGATTATCGAAATTTGCTCTTCGAAGTGCGCACAAGATAAGAGCTTTCGTTTGACCTCATTCGTCGCTTTGATACGCGAAACAGAAAGTTCTCGTCGGATTTACGCAGATTAATTAGATTCGCATAATTTATCGGACGTCTATGATTAATCATCGATCGGAGATTAATTAATTACGTCAACGCGCAGCACGTCGAGTATTGGGGACGGAAGCGTAGCCCGGGCGCGCGCACGTTTATTTATAACATTACGTAATCAGACATTTGCTTTAAATGTCACGCAGCTGACTACTGCAATTATGCAATTAACCGAGCTAACTTCAATCAATCTCGGCGAGCGCGCTCACGAATCCGCCTGACGATTCTTCGCGGCGTCACGGAGCATCGCGACAACCCCAGTCAGGTGTGATTGCAGTGACGAGTGACGAGTCTGATCCCGCGAGGTCATCCCAATCAGAAGAATCACCGATCCACCACTGACGACGTTTACTTCCTCCGTCGCAGAAACTTTGCCGACCGCCGTTCAGTCCCCAAGTCGTGGCTTAAACTCCAAAAGGAGGCAGCGCGCGTCTTCCCTCGAGCGCGAAACGAGCTTCCGAACGGCCGTTTAATCTCTCGGAGATCGCACGCCGGCCAGTCTCCGTAGGATTCGCCGAGGTGAAAAAAGAGAGAAAAGGGAGTCTTCGCGCGACGACGGCACGCGCGACACTCTTTGCGACACGTCCGATCGCCGACGACAGTGTGTGACTCACTATCGTCGTATCTAGGCTCCTTCTGTTATAAAAAGATCCACGAACGTACCACGCGCGCACGAGAAAGAGAAAGATTGCTACACCTCGTCGCTCGTTGCCAACGTGTCGCGCGCTCCTCGTGGGTGTTCCACCAGGTATTACACCCCTTACCCGATTCCCACTCGCGCTAACGCAACCCGCCGCCAAGTTTAACACGGCCGAGGCGACAAAGGCGCTTAATTCCGCAATAATGCCGCGATCAAACGGACGTCTCGCCCCGGATGACTTGTCCCTGCCACCGTTACTCAGCCCCTCCGTCTCGCGTTTCTTCCCGTTTCGGATGATCGGTAATTCCGCGCGGCGGAATTCTATTTGTAATTTCACGCGCCGCGTAATACGACAAAACATTTGAGTCGCCGAGCCGTCCGATTCCTCGGGCGTCTTTTTACGGGTGGAATCACGTCCCGAGATACGTCGCAAATTATAGGTCGAGTCTAAAACGAGCTTGAAGCTCCTGATCTTGACGAAATTACCTTCGTCTTCGAGTCGGTTTCAGCAACTTGCTAGTTACACCACTCATTTCGCGGACGTGACCCTTGCGAAAGATTAAAGCAGTTCGTGACTATGTTGCAATACTTGTTTTATTATAATACAAAATATTATTATAAGACAAAGAGAGGTCTAAGCCTCTGAAAGTTAACAACTATTAGGCAAACTCACTATTGTTTGTTCAAAGGAAGATTTCCTCTTTCCAAGAATATTACAAACTTTATCGAAGAAAAGCTAGATCCAGTTAAATGAAACAAATAAATCTAAGTTTTATTTTTAGTGTTTTAATTTAATATTCTTGATTGAAGTACTCAACTTACTAGAGTTGAAAATATATATTGAATAAATTTGATGTTTATAATGAACTTGTGAGATATATTTGCGGACATACAACTTATAAATATTTGAAACACGTAACATTTACTGTAATATATATTTTTCTCTGTACGGCCATTCTCTCTCTCTCTCTCTCTCTCTCTCTCTCTCTCTCTCTCTCTTTCTCTTATAAAACACAAAATTAATTTGCAGCTTCGCAAATATAATCCCACGAAAAATCTTTCGTAAAATAAAAAACTAATAAAATATTATGAAAAATGGGTCTTTTTCAAAAATATGTATATCAACTTGCGGCCTCCGTCGCAATATTGCGCTTTGCGGATGTAACGTTTCGTTTATGAGATATTCCGAGGACTCAGGTGTTAGGATAATGAAACCCAGTCCGCACTACCTATTCCAGTCCTCCTCCTCCTCCTCTTTCTCTCTCTTCCTCCCTCCTCTTTCCTCTCTTTCTGTTTCTCTCTCGTTCTCCGCGTCGGGTCAGGTACGAACAATGAATCGCGCGAAGGAATAGCGATAGAGAACAGCCGGGGAGTAGAATACCAATAAGCCGTTGCCGGTCATCCGGCCCAGGAAGAAAATTTCCATACTCGGCGATGCAAGTTACCTCTCCGCGATACCACCGGCGGGAAAGACGCGCGAGTTTATTCGCGAATAATCTTGCGGCGTACAATCGATAACGAGGATGACGACTACTCGGCTTCATCGCATCGATGACATGGTTGCGTTGGGAAAATTCGATTCGATGACGACGACAACGAGGAACTTCCACCGGCGGCTGTCAGCCGTTTTGAAAGAGAGAGAGAGAGAAAGAGAGAGACGAAACGAGATGATAAATTACACGACGACGATGAACGTCGCCGAGAACGGTGGGTCGCGCGCTGCAACGATCGCGTGAATGCACACGAGGCTACGCACCTGGCCGCAGTCCACTTCCGTCTTCGACAGTCGAGAAAACTCGAGAACAGTCATTGCGCTCACATCCGGCGGAGCAACGACAACATCTCGAACAGGATCAAACGTCGTGATCGAGAAAATATAATTCGCCGTGCGCTCGTATGCGTGTTTGTTTATCGAAACTATGACGCATCGGTCTCACGTTTTTTCTGCATCAGCATTGACCGTCACAGTCCCAATACTCAACTCAAGAAAATAGCGCTAGCTTCTCTATGTACAAATATGTAAATGCATTATTTATCCAATCGTTTATATATATATATATATTATATATATATATAATATCTATTATATATATATATATATCAACGATTGGATAAATAATGCATGCGTATATATATATATACGCGAGTTCACATGTAGGTAATTTATATGTAAATATAATAAAAGATTTCTATGTAAATCTCGCCGATCGGGGACGCATGCACGCAGACGGAGATGCAAAGGAAGCGAGAAAGAGCTGAGGAACATTGAGTCGTAGAGCAAGAATCTTTCTTTCCGCTCACTCTCGCGAATCCCGTTGAAAAGGCAGACGCGCTTCGATTGCGTAAAATATGAGCGCTTTGCATTAATGTGGGATTTAAAAGCGAATAGGCGTGCACATCCGGTTGCTCGCGCTGCCATTTCTGAGGAACGAGATACGCTTAAAGACGGCCCGTACCGGTTGAAGGCAATCACGTCGGCGCCGGTCTATCTAATTCCTATCGCGGTGCAAAAACATTTCACCGGATCATCGTATCATCGAGGAGCGATCGAGAATACCTATTGAACACTCGCGGATCGACACTGGAGAACTTCATTCGACATGCACGTGATGATCCTGAAAGCCTCGAACGTAAAGTCC